CCCCAAAACCCCAAAACCCCAAAACCCCATTGTCAAAGATTGAGTTTAAAGATTTAAGTTCTGCTTAAATTAGGTTCGGGTTATTTTACTATATATCATATTACTTTCATAGTTGCTATACTTTGAAGATAATTTTATATGTTTCAGACATTTTAGTTTTCAATTAAGCATTCCCAAAGACTTTAACACATAAAGATATATGTTAGCCATTACTATTAGCCATGCACCAATTACTTCAATGAATTTAAAGTTATTTTTCATGTAAAAGACATCGAAAAAGTAAGTGAATATAAGTTCAAAATTGCTGTATGCTGCTCCTCTACCAGCTTTTTCATAATAGAACATTAGGTTAGTGAAGTACAAGGTAGAAAGGGTTAATATTCCAGTTAAAATGATAAGAATCCATACTTCGTTAGAATAATGAGTGAATTGGTTCTTATAGACATCATAGGTGAGAAACACTCCTGGCATAAATACAAGGTTAATTACCATTATGTAAAATACTAAAACCCAGCTATTAACTGGTCTATCCTTAATTTTTCTCAAAGCAACATAACTTAGATTGAAACTTACTGCTGAGCCTAGTGCCAATACTATTCCTAGTATATCTTTATAGCTCATTATTTTGCTATTTAATGGATCTGTTAGTAAAACAACTCCAACAGTACATACTAAGAAGCATAAGATATCGTGTTTTGACATCTTTTCTCCAATTGTCACATATGATATCAACGAGGAGATAAAAGGGTTATATACAATAACTACAGTCTTAGATACAGGTATAATTTCAAGGGAAAATATCATTAGCAAAAATCCAGCGGCAGATCCTATTATTCTAATGAAAGCATAAGGCAGAGCTTTTTTATCTATTTCGAATGGGGAAATTTTAAGATAGTAAAGGATCAAGGAGACTAATATAAAAGCTGTTAAAGATCGTTAGTAAACCAGCTCAAATACTCCAATGTCTGTATAGAAAAGCATAATTTTAATGAGGTCAAGCTATAGCCCAGCTGAACATGCTGCTATAAATCCACATACTAATCCCCTTACCGCATTGTAATGTTGAACTAATTAACTAGATCTTGCTGAGGTGGGAGAAGAGTTCGGACTAAGCCCTCTATTTATCACCTCAGTACCTTCACTATTTTGATATTCCATCTCCTCAACTACCTTTTTCCTGTCTGTAAAAGAATGATACTGCTTGTTGGGAGTCAGCTGATCAGATTTATTAAATGTCCTTGATTTTGTCACTGAAGTGAATTCTCGATTAAAGCTGCTAACAAATTCCATTTATATGATTGTTGAAATTAAAATTTTGAATTAAATGTATTTTGAACAAAAGTTCGCATTAAATTTTCCCAATTTAATCATCATGGGGTTTTGGGGTTTTGGGGTTTTGGGG